GGCCGCGCCGCTCCGCGGGGAGCATGGCCCGCTGGATCCCCACCAAGCGGGAGAAGTACGGGGTCGGTGAGTGCCAGCCCGGGCCGCTCGGACGCCCCTTCCCCGCTCGTCGTGCGTCCCGTCCCTTCCCTTCCCTCCGCTCCCTCCCGGGGTCACTGCGCTCCGAGTCCCCGCTCCTCCGGTTTCCCCGCACCGCACGTTTATTTGCGTCCCCCGTTTATAGTAATTCCTTTTCTTTAGCACACTCTTGAGTCGTTTCTCCTCTATACACTTTCTTAGTTCTTTTTTTCTTTTTTTCAGTGTGTGCTGTCTTCCACTTTCAGGTTTCAGCAGCGGGTGTTCACTCTTTGAACCCGTGGGGATGGAGGCAGTGGTGTGTGTCCAGTTCACACCCTGGCAGCTCTGGGTTTCAGGAATCCTGCAAGTTCGGGACTGACCTTTGTAATTTTGCCTTTCCAGCGTGTTTTACAGTGAAGAGTGCTCGAACGTAGCAGTAAAAATGAAGATGCAGATAGAAAAAGTGGTGACAGGATAAGGTGGTTGTAATGAGTGAATTCAAGACTGAGTGACATCTTTGCAGGGAGTGGAAATCTTGACACAGGGAGAGGGATGGTGAAAGCTTGACTGACACCTTGTACCTTCTGCCCTGTCCTCTTTATATTTAAAAGGAGTTTATTGAATGGTGGAAGGTTTTTCTCTAGGAGGAACATAACCAGTGGTGTCACTGATAGGTTTCTCCTTGAGAGTTTGACAAATTGAAAACCTCACAATTTCGAGGTTTCTTGTGAGAATTGAGCAGAGAACAATAGGTAGGAAACCACTAATGACACAAACAACTTCTGATAGTTTATTTTAATAAAGAGTTATCCTCTGTGCCCCTTGTGCTCCACAGTGGATGTCTCGATGTGAGAAAAGTATTTAATTTCATGCTTGCAAAGCGTTAATTGCCCCAGCTCCCATGAGGTTGTTCTTTCAAGTTCAGTCCATGAGTTTAAAAGTGAAGAACCTCATCCTGCGCAATTCTGCGTGCCGTGAATTTGAAATCAGTTCCTCACTGGATTTCAAAGTGGTTTTGCAGGACCGTGGCTTGAGCTTCAGAGATATTATACGCAGCACAACCTTATCTAGTTTCTGCTCTGGTAACCGGGAGGGTGTGGAGCATTGTACACCCTGAACTTTGTTTCTTTCTGTGGAGGTAACAGCCCAGGCTATTTATATATGGCAGCCCGTATGTATGACTTAGTGAGATTACCCTGAGCAGCAGGAA